AGAATCGTAAATCGTCATGCGAGCCCTGACCCTGACCCTAAGCCCTGGACCCTAAACCCTACACCCTAAACCCTAAACGCTGAAGCCTGAACCCTGAACCCTGCACCCTGGCAACCCGCAGCGCTTTCACGGCTCTCATGGCTTCAGGCTGTGGGCTTTGCACCCCTAAAACCCTTAAGCTCAAACCCTAAAGACCTAAACCTCAAGCCCTAAAGCCCTAGACCTCAAACCCTAAAACCCTAAAGCTCAAACCCGAAGACCCGAAAGCTCAAACCCTAACACCCGAAAGCTCAAACCCCAAAACCCTGAAGTCCGAACTTTTGGAGGTTAACTTCGACCGCTAAGGCGACAGAGACAAGCACGCGCGGATTTCATAGGACCCTGAACACGGGGGTTTAGGGTTGAGAGTTTAGGGTTTAGGGTTTATGTCTGTCTGACCATTGAGGTTTGAAGACCTTCTCGAATACCCACAAACTAGAACCTTCACAGCAACCCCGACAGTAACCTCGATAGTAGCCCTTTAAGTATTTCGTAGCAATACACCTATCTCCCGACATCTTACACCCCCTAAACTTCACTAAATCCCTAAAACCTAAACCCTAAACCCTAGAATCCTAAAGTCCCCCCAAATGCCCGGAAGCCCCAAACTCTTTCGAGGCATTTGTGGCAGCGCAAAGTGCCGCCAAGGCTCCTCGACCCTAAGCCCTAAATCCTAAACCCTAAACCCGAAAAATTGAACCCCAGACCCGAAACCTTGAACCCCAAAGCCGAAACCGAAGCCCAAACCCCAAAACCCTGAAAAACTAAAGTCCGAAGCCCTAACCGTTCGGATTTTTGGGCGGCTGGCGATGGGCCAAAAGCGGCGCAATGGCGCTGGCACCAGAGGGGAGAGCTGCCCTGGAGCGCCAAGCGCAGGAGCAGTTGGTTGGGGTTTAGGGTTTTAGCGTTTAGGGCTTAAGGTTTAGGGTTCTAGGGCTTAAGGTTTAGGGTTCTAGGGTTT